TTTTATTTTAAAATGATAAACAGAAATATAAGATATATAGGAAAGCCCTGTGCTTTAATATTGTTTTTTGACATATAAACCAGAATGCAGTCTGAGGTGAGGCACAAGGCAGAAATCAGAGAAAAAAACCAATTATTACAAGTAGATGGTCCACTTTTTAAATACCCATAAAGACTTTTAACAACTGCTTGGTTAGGAACCTTTAGAAAGCGCCAAAGCTTATCTGGCTTTTAAATATCAGCAGAACTATTTTGAACTTTAGATCTGCCATTCCACTTGCTCTAAAAACGAAGCATATACTTGAAATAAAAAGCCCATGTCCTAACTTTAAACCTCTAACTACCTGAAAACCTGTCCAAGGAAACCAACATGGGTGAAGATCAGACAAGAAGCACTGTCAATACTGGCCGCCCTGGGCAGACGGCTCCTACCAACTGCTTGCTGTTACCGCAGGAAAATTGAGGTGAACAGTGTTATTACATTTATACCAACAGACCCACAATCAACAAGTTAAAAACATCCTACTTTCCAAGGAATCGGATCAGTTGTCGGCTGGTGGTCTGGAGTGGTTTCCCCAGCTCCCTCTGGGGCGCCACAGCTCAGATCTACAAGTAGAAATTACATTTACACAACTGAAGTTTGCAAATAGCTCTCTATAGCTAGTTAAACAAGGCCTTGCAATCCAGTAGTTTTAAAGTATTAAAGGCAATTAAACAGTGATTTTATCTGGTTACAAGTAACGGATTTTAAAAAGAGAGGTGGGAAAACTGGAGAGGAGGAATAGGAGTCATTTGGTTTAGAAACTGAGCATATTTACTTTGCTTAAATTCAGCTGCAGAAGCTTCACAAATTTAGCATTGCACAAGTGTTTTTTTTTTTAAAAAAATGCTACAAAATTAGTTTTATGTGAACATTTTCACATACTGAAAACACCACACAATTTATAACACTTGGAAAAATATATTCAATCCACACCAACTCTCAAATCCTCTCACTGTAAGATATCATCAGTTTACACAGTCTACTATTACTTCCGAAATAAGAAAGATCAGATAAAAAGGGTCAATATCACAGACCAATGTGCTTGACATTCTTGGGCTTACACATTTTAAAACATCCAAGAAGCTAGATAAAATGCCATTTTGATTTTTCCTCTTATGTTGTTTCTGTTTAAACAACATCAAAAGATACACAGACATGACCACTGGGGGGAAAAATGACTTTAATTTGCCATCATTGAAACTATAGAACTAATGAATCCATAAGATATCAATTTTAAAACTTGTTGAAATTGTTTCATCATATAAAAACACTTATCTGTGAGGTGACTGATTTCAGGTTGTCGGAGGCATAAGAAAATTCTAAGTCATTTTGGTACAGTTTATGACATCTTCAAATAAGGCAGGCATATTAATTGTTGCATACACTTTAAAAAAGGTCGAAGAATATTAAATTCAGAAGCTCATCTATTAGAAACAATCTTCGCAAGATAAATTCAAGTAATTAAAAATTGATGTGAAATTTAATGTTTAAATTTGAAAGTCAGCAAAATCTTGACTTAAAAATTTTATCTCTTGCATTTTACACTGTTGGCCAGATCATAGCTGGATTAAAATATTAAATTGTTGAAACAGTAGGGCCAAAAAAAAACCCTACAGGGGAAGTGGAGTCCTAAAAATGAGGACCACTGGACTTTGAGGTGAATATCTGTCCCACCAAGTCTCCTTTGCCCTGGAGAATAAAACTGAAAGAATCATTTTAGCCCTACTCAGCCTTTCAGAAGGAAAAGGCTCCAGAGTACAGTTCCATTTTTCTGATAACAATAAAAGAAATTCTATCCCTAAAAAAGCTCAAAGTAGATCAGGCTAGTAAGGATTAATAACAGCCACCACCAGGACAACCACTCAGAGCTTTCTCCACAGAATATTTAAACAGCAAAACTAAAGTGTGCTATCTCAATCACAATGCCACTCAACCCGCATTACATATTTAAAAAGCAACGTCCATTCTAACCATAAAGTTGGAAGTTCCACTGAAAATGGGACCTTTCACACCTATCCTTGAAAGATCTGCTCCTTATGTCTGGATTTAGACGGTGTCTCCTGAAATGAAAGACTGTGGACAGCCTCACACTCAACTGGGCAAAGATTCTCAGCAGTGATGCAGATTCGGTATTTTATAAGACTTTATGCAAAGTTTTTCTTCTGGTCTCGAAACGAAAAGAGATCGTCAGGGAGAGAACAACGTGCACTCCCCAAAGTACTCCACAGTGCATCCTGGCACTCAGGTTGTGAATTTAAATTTGGCATTTGGGGGGGTGGGGGTGGGGAGAAAGACAGACAGAG